TCCCCTACCGCACTGCCCCGCTCCCCCCCCCGCCTCTCTTCCTCGCACCAGGTGCTGCTGTGGTAGACCCCCTCCCCCCTCAGGGTGCCGCTCCCTCAGGTGTGTCCCAGGTAGACCCGGTTGACCCTGTCGAGGTAGCTGTTGACTCCCGTCCTGCTAGAGGTCCTGAGCCTGAGCGTGAGGAGCCTGAGGGTGCTGAGCCTGTGGGTGCGGAGCCTGGGGGTGCTGAGCCTGGGGGTGCTGAGCCTTGGGGTGCTGAGCCTGGGGGTGCTGAGCCTGGGGGTGCTGAGTCTGGGGGTGCTGAGCCTGGGAGTACTGCGTCTAGGAGTGCTGAGCCTGGAGGTGCTGAGCCTACGTGTGCTACACCTGGGGGATCTCTCTCCTCCCAGCAGCTGCAGGAGAGGTACCTACAGTACTGCCGCCTCCGGAGAGGTCCTGCTGGAGCTGGTAGCGGTGCTTCCCCTCCTGCCCGGGAGCTCCCCCCCCTCCAGCAGATCCGAGAGTGGTACACGAGGCGCTGCAGTCTTAGGAGTGGTGCTCCTGGTGCTGCGGACCAGGACGTTGGCGCTGCTGCTGGTACTGAGGACCCGAGCGGTGGCGCTGCTGCTGGTGCTGCGGACCCGGGCGGTGGAGCTGCTGCTGGTGCTGAGGACCCGGGCGGTGGAGCTGCTACTGGTACTGAGGACCCGGGCGGTGGAGCTGCTGCTGGTGCTGAGGACTCGGGCGGTGGAGCTGCTGCTGGTGCTGAGGACCCGGGCGGTGGAGCTGCTGCTGGTGCTGAGGACCCGGCCGGTGGAGCTGCTGCTGGTGCTGTGGACCCGGACGGTGGAGCTGCTACTGGTACTGAGGACCCGGGCGGTGGAGCTGCTGCTGGTGCTGAGGACCCGGGCGGTGGAGCTGCTGCTGGTGCTGAGGACTCGGGCGGTGGAGCTGCTGCTAGTGCTGAGGACCCTGGCGCTGCTGTCCCTGCTGGTTCTCGAGACGCTGCGCGGCCGCGACCGTACTTTGTACCGCTCCTTCAGCAGGTTCTTGGTCAGGCTCCTCCTCCTTGTCCTCCTCCCTCCGTAGAGTGTCCTCCGCCTGTCCAGTCGCAGTCACAGTTCCCGCCTGCCTCGCCTCTTCCTGGTCCCTCTCCTTACACTGGTCCCACAGGAGGCCTTACAGAGCGTCGTCAGCCTGAGTCTCGTCCAGCGTCGCCTGTTCGTACTGCTCGTCCTGGTCGTCGTGTCCCGCGTGAGCGTCCTCCTCCTGTCCCTGGCACTCACTACATGACTCTGCGTCCCTCCACTGCTCCTCAGCGTGTCCCTCTGCCGTCTCCTCCTGCGTCCTCTCTACCTACTCTTCCTGACCCGGAGTCTGACTCCCGTCGTGCTGCCAGTCCCACTGTCACGCGTCTCCTCGCCACCGTTGTCACTGACCCTACCTTTGAGTCCGCCGCTGCGTCTGCTCTGGTCGCTGAGTTGGTTGACTTTGCTGCTCGGTGTCGCCTAGACTACGCTGCTAGCCTTGTTGCTGAGTCTGAGTCTGCGTCTGTCTGTCCTCCGTCCGTCGGGGGTGAGTGTGCTCTTGGCACGGACGTCCTTGAGGACAGACAGGAGGAGTTCCAGTGCTTTGCTGCTGCTTTGCCCCATCTCGTGTCCATGCTAGTTGCCCCTGAGGGAGACCCGGATGCACCAGACATCCCGACCCCGCGCTCTTACGCAGAGGCGGTGGCAGGTCCCTACTCCTCTCAGTGGCAGACAGCCATGGACGCAGAGATGGCTTCCTAGAAGTCCACAGGCACCTACGTCGACGAGGTTCCCCCACCTGGGGCGAACATCGTTAGTGGCATGTGGATTTTCAGGGTGAAGCGGCCGCCTGGTTCTCCGCCTGTCTTCAAGGCGCGTTACGTGGCTCGTGGCTTCAGTCAGCGCGAGGGAGTAGACTTCTTCCAGACCTTCTCCCCCACCCCGAAGATGACTACTCTTCGAGTGCTGCTGCACATAGCCGCTCAGCGAGACTACGAGCTTCACTCTCTTGACTTCAGCACTGCTTTCTTGCAGGGCAGCCTGCATGAGGAGATCTGGCTGCGCCGCCCTCCTGGCTTCACTGGGTCGTTCCCTCCTGGTACCCAGTGGAGGCTCCAGCGGCCAGTCTACGGTCTCCGCCAGGCGCCACGTGAGTGGCACGACACACTGAGGACGACACTCGCGGCACTTGGGTTCGCTCCTTCTACTGCTGACCCGTCGCTGTTTCTACGCACTGACACCTCGTTGCCGCCGTTCTACATCCTCGTGTACGTCGACGACTTGGTCTTTGCCACTGCTGACACTCAGGCACTCGCCCACGTGAAGTCGGAGCTGCAGAAGCGACACACGTGCACAGACCTGGGTGAACTGACAAGCTACCTTGGCTTGCGGATCACTCGGGACAGAGCACGGCGCACCATCACCTTGACTCAGTCACACATGGTGCAGCAGGTCCTTCAGCGCTTCGGCTTCACGTACTCCTCGCCTCAGGCCACTCCTCTGCCTACAGGTCACTCGCTCTCAGCTCTGCCTTCGGATGAGTCCGTAGAGTCGAGTGGCCCGTATCCAGAGCTTGTTGGCTGCCTCATGTACCTGATGACCTGCACTCGACCTGACCTTGCATACCCTCTTAGCATCCTTGCACGCTATGTCGCTCCTGGCCGTCACAGGAAGGAGCACATGGATGCCGCTAAGAGGGTGTTGCGCTACTTGTGCAGTACGTCGGGCATGGGGCTAGTGCTTGGAGGGCGAGACCGTGTTGTACTCACTGGACACTCAGACGCCTCTTGGGCGGACGACCAGGCTACTCAGTGGTCGTCTCAGGGTTACACCTTCAGCCTTGGCTCTGGCTCAGTTTCTTGGCGTTCTACACGCTCTTCTTCTGTTCTCAGCTCCAGTTGTGAGGCTGAGATCTACGCCACAGCCATGGCGGCCCAGGAGTTACGCTGACTCACCTACCTGCTGACTGACTTGGGAGAGCGGCCTCGTTCCCCTCCAGTGCTGTACGTTGACAACAAGGCTGCCATTGCCTTGTGTGAGGAGCACAGACTGGAGCACAGAACGAAGCACATCGCTCTGCGGTACTTCCTTGCTCGAGAGCTTCAGCAGCGTGGTCAGCTTTGTCTCCGTTACGTGGCCACTGAGGCCAACACTGCTGATGTGTTCACCAAGGCGCTTCAGCCCTGTGACCATCAGCGCTTTTGCACTCTCCTAGGTCTTGTGCCTACTGGACCTCACTTGCTCACTTCTTGACTCTGTTTGTACTGTGATCTTTATATATATGCCTGCATGTTTACTCTTGCTAGGTTGTGATCATTGTACCTCTTGCTCTATTATAAACCTGCATGTGAACTGGTCTTGTGACCGCTTGCTTGTGCTCAGAATTTGTGTGGAATCCTTGAGATCCACCCTGAGCTTGTTTTGCCTTGCTCTGCCTTGACTGGTCTTGTGACTCCTAGTTCTCCCCTACTTTGCCTATGGGGGTGTGTCAAACATTATATATGTTATGCTTGTGTAGGCTACAGTGGGTTAGCCTATACGGGGTACACAATTCTAGGGTTAGGTACTTGTACTGCTTTGCACTGTTAGTTCATCACTCCTTTGTTCATTTCTTGCTTGCCTAGCTAGATCAATTCTAGCTATGGCTTCTCACTGTCCTTACTATCTTGACACACATTACTTTCTCAATCTACTATTTGTAACACTTGGGACGGTACGGCCTGCAATTTCTAAATGATTGGCTGATCGCAACCCCTCACCCCGACGATACGTGTGGGCCAAAGGATCCACGTCGCACCCGCTTTGCCAAAGCTGCAGAACGTAATAAGAATGCGGGAACGGATGGGAGGTTTTTGGGGGCTGTGGGAGAAGCCTTGGTGTGGAATTTTAACATCAAATTTTTTTAGTATGTGTGGTAATTATCTTGTAAGGAATGTGGAATATCTTGTAAGCATGGAATTTGGTATGCATGGCGAACTCAGGCAAAATTGGAAAATCAACTGGTTTCGCACAGTTATTCCAGCCTTGCATGATCAGCGTTCTTTTTTTCCTTTGGTTTGCTCAGGAATGTCTTATTGGGTTGTGGAACAATTTACACTGGTGAGAAACAACATGTCTCGAAAACCAAGCATCAAAGACACTTTAGTACAAAGCTCTATCAAGTCGGAAAAAATTAACGGTATTTACAAGCTGGAATAATAATATCGAAAAAAAAGAGCATGCATCAGATTGTAGTACATAGCTGTAGCAAACTTGAAATTGCACTCTCCCCATCCTGCATCACTCGTTGCCTCCCGCATTCGCCTTCCGCCGTCCCCCTTTGGTGGGCTGGGGAGAATGGAGCATCCCACTCTGATATGCTTAAAGACTCTGCGCCACGAGAGAGCAATCAAAACCACCTTAGCCATTTTGACAGCTTCTGTCTCCCCAGGCTCGGGATCCACAAGGCTGAGAATAGCCATGGTGAGTACCACTTCCCACTCAGCCTTTTCGTGCGTTTGGTTCTTAACATCTTTTAAAGCCCACACTCCGAGCCAAGCAGTAGAGGTTGCTCGACTCGCAAGGCTTGCCTCGTTGAGTGGGCCATGAGCCGCCTCATCCGCACCCTCTGCCCAGTCTTGGTGTAGAGGGTTGCCGCCACTCCTGCTGCATAGACCGCGGAAGTGACACTCGTGGGCGACACCAGTCCAACCCCTCCGTGTACAAGGGCCTGTCCAATCCCCGTGCAAACAGCCACCTGGAAATGCGCGCCGTCTTTCACCTGTGCGTATGTTTTATCTATGACGTTATCGAAGCTGCACAGGAGGGGTGGATACGAGGTTAGTGGGGAAAAACGAGAAAATGTACAATATCATGCTGATTCAAATCAAATACTTACTTTTCGAACTTGTCCAGGTTCAATTCGTTTATAACACTCCAAACACTTGTCGAGAGTTTACGAGCGAATTCGAGGCGGACCGCCCACGATCCAACCTTGACAGAATCCATGCCGTAATGGACCATGTCGGTGTCGGAGAAATAGGTCATCCAACAGACAGCCACTTCTCCGCGATGTTCCGCAGGGTGTTGTCAACCCTCGCCAAGGAGACTCATCCACAGGTAGACATGGCGAACGTTGAACAGCTGCTGAAGGAGGTTCCCTGCCATGTCCTCACCGTAAGTGTGACTTTCAGAGTTTTTTTGGTGGACAGCTTTTTTTTTCACAATTGTGAGAAGTGACAACCAGTTGTGCGGTTTTTCCGCGCGCAGGAGAACCACATCCCCAAGCAAGACAACGGTCATGACTGTGGAGTCTTCGTTTGCCACTACTTGAAAACTTTGGTCTACTCCGACTTCGCCAACTTGAAGAGTGGCCTGTGGTTCAAAGGGGTGAGCGCGCTGCAGTACCGCCGCATCATGCGCGCTGATTTATGCGCACACGCTATGGGAGAGTTGCTCCGGAAGCTAGAGGAGGATGGCTTGGATGTTCCATCTCAGCAAAGCGGCACGACCACCAACACAACTTTGAGGGAGGGTGCGACGGATGGACGTCAGACAGAAGAAGATCGTATAGACCAGCTCGAGGCGGAGGTATGCTCGTTAAAGCGCGAGGTCGGTGCGATGACTGCAGGCTTCGCCGCAATTGGTAGTGTGATTGGGATGTCGAGGGAGCAATTAATCTCAGCAGGCAAAAACATGCTGCAGCAAACTGCCGTCGGTGCGCAGGGGTCGAGGGGTGATGATGGGCGCAATCACGGCCCAAACACTCCGCTGCGGCCGTCAGCCTACACGAAGCAGCTGAACGACAGCCCAGACGAGGATATGATGGGCTCCAACACGAGAGTGTCGCTCGACAGCAAATTCGCGGCGGCCGTTGGTGCGTGCCCCTGTTTCCCGGCACATCTGCCAATTCCCGGGACGGTTCCACACTGGCTGTTGTCCCGGCAGTAGGCAGCTGCGGTTTCACTAGTCCAGCCATCCTATCTGCTGTATGGGCTGGCGCAGAGCGGTGCGGGCGCACCTCCCGGCTTCATAGCTGTACCTAAGCAGGAGACCTTGGCGGGAGGAGAGGATTCTGACGAAGATGGAGAGGGCGAGAACGAGCCAGGAACAAAGCCGACCAAGTACACAGGGGTCTATGTGGAGGCCGATACAGGCAAGTATGGGGTGAAGGTCATCGCGAAGGACAAGGAGGGGAAGAAGACAACGAAGAGAGTCGGCGCGTACACCACGACAGAGGAGGCTGCGTATTGCTACGCGGCAGCTGCCCACGTGCTGAGGCCTGGTAAAGGCACCCGGAACTCTGTGGCTTTATCAGCGGCTGATAAGGCAGCTCAGAAGGGGTGCACCCCCGAAATCCTGAAATTCATGGTGGATGCCCGCATGTGGTGGCGCTGGAGGGTATGGAGGGAGACCTACAAAGGTCTGATGCGGAAGGCAGCAAAAGCCAAGAAGAATGCAACGCGTGCAAAGAGGGGCAGACCGCGCAAGGAGAGTGGTGATCAGGGTGGGGGCACGGCAGGGGAGGGTGAAGGCGAGAAGGCTGGCGGTGAGGACACCGTAATCGTTGCCAACGAACCAGAGGACTGCAGGGTGCTTAAGAAGGCCCGCGGTGCAGAGGCAAAGTCCACCGACGACAAGACCGATGAAACTGGTCGTGGGAGGCAGAAGGATGGTGCTTGGGATATCAGTGGGAAATAAGAATGGGCAAGGGGCTAGAGAAGGCATCCCTGGAGGATTGATGTTTGCGTGTGTGCTGTGGACTTGAAATGTAGTGCTTCATTACTAGTTTGCTACTGCAATGTTTCCACGTTTTGAATGTTTAATTGGTCTAAAATTTTTAGCAAGCGTTGGTACTCTAATATCAAGAATCAGAAATGGTATTGAGAGGACGGGTGTTCGGATGAAAGATGACGGCGATCATTGGATGAATCGTATTCGCTAACAAAGATTACTGAAAGCGAGGAGGTCGTTTGCCAGTGGATGACGGAGATTGCGTTTATCCTGATTGGCCGCAACGGTTTTGGCGATTGTTGTGGACGGTTTTGAGCAAAGTTTACGAGTTGCCGTTTACTTTGCTTGGTCAAGCCGAGTACTTAGGCTTGCGTGGCGTGCACTCAAACACTGTGCGTCGTTTACAATGGAGACTTCCGTTGCTTCTGAGGATACTGGCAACACGGGGCGTGCAAGGCGAGTGTCCCAGCCCCCGGCGTACCTACACGCGACATATCAGCTTGCAACTCCTCGTGGGCGCATGGCTCGGGGGACTCGCGGAACGGCTTTGCCAAAACGTTTGGCCTTTACCAGAGCGGATGCTGGCGGGAAAGCTGTTGGTGACGGTAATGACGGTTTTATTTGCTGGTTGTTTGCAATCTATGACGCTACTTTCGCGTTTTGTAGCCTGTTTGATTAGGAATGTGTTGTCTTTCCGCAACCTTCCGCCATGGAGCTTGTGTTGTCCGGACCTAACATTCTCCTCCGCCTACATTCCCACGTCTACAGATAATACTGGTGGTGAGACATCTGACGCTTCCCCCGGCAGGGTCGGCAAACAAGCGCTGGAGAGTGACTCTCCCGATTCGCGTTCCAAGAGCAACGGTGCTCCTCGTCTAGCGAACCGGAATCGAGGCGAGGACGTAGACGGGGGCGAACAGGCACACAACGTGAGCAATAACAACGCTTCCGATGAGGAGGATGACGAGGATGTGGGTGACGCGATGCGCACAATGTTCGAAAACAATGCGTACCGAGAGAACGATGCTGTGGACACCAATGGCGAGGAGGTGCGCGTTTCCGCGGGAGTTATCATGAGCCTGCTTAAGTCGCAGGACGAGAGCGCGCAGAAGGTGGCTCGCTTGGAAACTCTGCTTTTGGAGGCGCTGGCGAAGTCCGATGGGGGGTCCCGTCGGCGCAAGGCGAAGCGGCAGAGGGATCCCGGGCAGGGATGCATGAACCCAAAGCGCCAGCGTCGCGGCGAGGCAGTGGCCGACGTTGAGGAGGATGACGATGAGGAGGAGGACGACGACTACGAGGACATGGCACATATTCGCATACGTCGGAAGCACATGCGCTCTGCAAAGTCGCCTGTTCTTCAACGCGCACTGGATCTGCTGCCGGCCGACAAGGCTTGGAAGGTGGGACGTGCTACCAAACTTGTAACATTACTTTGTGAGTGTGCAGTTTCTGCCGTACAATGGCCTGTTGTGGTGCATTGTACTGATTCACACTTTCCCATGGTGCCTAACTTGTGTGCAGCGCCTATGCGAGCTGGTCCGATTGCAGCTGTTTTTGAAGAAGCCGGCCGCAACCATGACTTTCTATCCGAGCTCTGACGGCAAGACATATGGCGTTAGCTCAGTGATTGACCGCCTGCCGCATAGCTTCGCGTGCCTTGCGCTTGCCGCGGACAAGTCCCGCCGTGCTGACCTTAACAAGACGCTGAGCGAGTGGAAGACAAGGGCTGCAGCACGGGTCCGGGACATTGCGCTCCCCAAGCTTGGATTCTTCCGTGATGAGCACGACGAGGCAAGCCCGTGGGCAAGGGACAACGCACGCACGCTGGAGCAGATTCGGGAGCGCATTGGGCTCGGTGCGGAGGAGAGCCGTAAGCGGTGTTCTGGTGCTTTTAGACATTGGTGACGGTTGCGTTGTGGTTTTCGTGTTTAAACCCCAACATTCTATCCGCGGTGTGCAGATGATCTGGTGCTGAGCAACTGGTCTAACAACCGCGACGACGGGATGCCCTTTGCGTCTGCCGCGTTTGCGGCGTGCGCAAAGGCTGCCTTCATTCCGAAGAAGGCTGCACTGCCGCTCACTTTGAAGGTGTACCACCTTGTGTGGCTGGAGCACGTGGTGAGTGACATTGTAGGTGTTGGGTGGTTAGTTTGAACATGGCTTAAGTCTTACAAGGCGTGCGCTGTTTGTATTTCCTTTCAGGTGTCCGACAGCATCATGTATTGGGAGCAGAGGATGGGCCGCCTCTCTAACTCGGCCGGGGGGAACGGCCACGTGGTGAACGGGCTCAAGGTGCTTGTGAAGGGCTCCGTTTCACAGGCCATCCGTCACTTCAATCCCGAGTACGACGACGAGAAGGAGGAATGGATATGGGGACGCCATGGCCTCCGCCTTTCTGCCTGTGGTCTTGAGAACATGAAGCCTAATGCTGGCGCCAGCGGCGGAGACGGCGCCGAGAATGATGTGCAGTCGGTGTCAGTCGGGGGCGTGTAGAGCACCGGGGAGGGGGAGGCCGGCCTGTTGGTGGGCCTAAACCCGTGATCGAGTGGGCTGCTGTTGGTTGTGTGTGCGCTTTTGATATTTATTTTCTGTGTTTGGGGTTTTTAGGTGTGTAGAATGCCGCATATGCGGTGTTTGAACCCTGGTAGACGGTTGTGTTACATGTAATGTGATGCTTGTTTTGTGTGGGATTAGTGGACATGGTTTGGTGCTTTTTATACTACAGGACTGCGCGTGGATGAGAGTATGGAAATCACGAAATGAACATAACAAACCGAAGCGCGCCTGAAATGCGCCGCATTTGTCGCCGCGATTGTCGGAGAGTACCTGATTGGGGCCATGAATGGTGATCCGGCCATCCTGGGAGCAGCACGCGGGTTGCCGTGATTGGCGCGTAATGTTGACAAGGCACCATATGCGGTAGAAGAGAAGTGCATGTGTCGGCACGCAGGTGGCGTGTTGGAAAAAGGAGGCGTTTGTGAATGGTGTATAGGTGACGCGTGTCATTGTAATGATGGTTCGTTTCTGTGCACCGTGGACGGCTCTCCTGATGCCGCGGCTTGTGCGACACAGGAAGTTTGGTGCAGGCGCTCGATGTTACGAGCGGTGCGAGAGGGTGTCAGAGCGACACGTGCACAACGGTGGGCGCGGGTGATGGGCATCCGCCCTGAGCGGTCGGAACGAGGTGGTGCGACACATAGGAGCTGTGTGGTTTGCAGGCGCACGCATATGCGATTGCATGGGCGATTTCCCTAAAATGTGGCCGATACGTGGCGGGCTTTGAGTTGTTGCTGCTGTGTTGGGCGAGGAGCACGCTCGTATACAAGTGGATGGGCGACGCACGCGAGGTCTCAGCGAGATGGTGTTACACGTAGTACGAAGACGGGTGATGACGACATGTGGGACATGCGGGTTATGCGATGGCGTGTGGGTGTTCTGTATCGAGTCACGAAGTGGGTTGCACGTGGCGGGTTTGGAGTGGTGCGCGGGATTCAAAGCTCGAGGAATCGACGGGCTGGATGTGGAGTGTAGTCCCTAATCGATCGCGCCCGAGGGGGCTCGGGAAAGTGTAACTTTTTTGGCGAGTTGTGGAGCAGTTTCCACGTGAACGGTGCCGATTCGGTCTTGTGGTGCGGAATCGGGCGGCTGTGGTAGCTTCGGGAAGTCTTGGCAGTGTAAGCTTACGTGGCAGGTACGGTTGTAATGGACGTACACGTGGGCACGTGTACGTCCCCGCATGTTTTGGTTGCTGGGAGGTATGTGTGGTGGGTGGTCGCGGAGCAACGTTATCGTGATTGTGTGAGTTACGTGGGGGGTTACTGTAGGCCATTTGTAAAGTTGCCCGGACACTTGCGTGCTGGATGCGGGAATCTGCACACCGTGTTGACAGAAAGTGACGGAAAGGTGACAGTTGCAGTTATTGACGCTACCACTGTTTTCGAGTCAGACTTTTTTTTTGCGCGGCGAATGCAACTGCAAAGTTACGAAAGAGCCATTTTAAAGTTTTTTTTTGCACTTGCCTTTTCCGCGATGTAGCGGGAATTCCGGTGTTGACGGTAAGTGTTTAGTTCGATTTGCGGTTTTTGCGGAGCGCATGTTTAGCGAAGCGCACCAAGTCTGCGCTTTGCGGTTTTTTGCGGTTTGCCGTTTTTGCTGTTTGATATTAGTGAAGCGCAACAAGTTTGCGCTTCGCGTTTTTTAAATACTGGAGTGAGCATGTAAACCGACTGACGTGTTATTCCACCACAATGTCACGTCAGGAGAGAATACCAGCGGCGGGACATCAGAAGCCTCCCCCGGTAGGGCCTTGTCCCAAGGTCTCCACATCGACTCTCCCGACTCTCGCTCTAAGCGCGACGACAATGAACATCATGCGAGGAAGATGCACGTTGATGACGTTGACCATGGCGAACCTGAGCCAACAACCCGAATGAACAATGCTATCGAAGAGGAGTGTCACTCTTCAATTCCTTCTTCCGCCTGCAAGCATAGAATGCCACGTTGAACTCGGCTCACTTTCACTATACTACGCAGCAGACCCAACACACTGTGACACGTGCAGTTGTGCCGACCCCACTATGAATGTACATTCTCACCTCTCCAGAATGTGAATTTCGGTCTTCCCGAGTGTACAGAGGTAGGTGTCTATAATGTGGATGAACACACCCGAGTCCAAGACATGCAACGTGTCTGCAAGGCGTGCCAAGTACACGTTCCCTCACTCGGTGTCCTCGAAGTTCCAAAGTACCAGCACGCATTGGAGACAAAGGAAATATATTAGCCCCGCGATGGTTTCAATTGACAAAATGCTTTCTCATGGGAAAGTCGTTCAACTTGCGGACACATACCTCGATGGGATGAGTCGACCATTTTGACTGCATTTCCCGAGCATCTTCCTTCTTCGCACATTCTTGGATATGACATACTATGTCCCTCTGCTTCTCATGCGTTCGAGGATCCTTATCTGATGTTATACGCGTCAGATCTCCCACCTCCATGTAACAATTTGCACAAGGACGATGAGTACCCGTCTGCAGAGTTGCAGATGCCCTGCTGTTCTCTGAATAGTCGCCTGGTTATCCAAAAAGGCATGGGATCGCCTTGACCACTTCACCGGCAGCGTCTGTCATATAAAGTTACCGTATTGGCGCACTGCAAACAGACACGTGTAACTATGGTATTCAGTTTTGAACAGAAGGTATGCAGAACCCCTACAACTTACAACGACCTGTGATTTGAGAAATAAAGCATATTTCGTAGATTTCCGCATTAGTGGGCCTAGTATGATCTTCAAAGCCTCTTGGAAGATGCGTGCCTTCTCTGTGGGACTCGCCCACTCCGGGCAGAAAGGCAACACCGCCGCGAAAGTGTGCCCCGGCTCAAACTAGCACAGTTTCTCGGGTATGTTGATAAGCGAAATAAGGACAGGCCAGGCATTCCGCCGACCATTTCGTAGCGCCTGCGTGCTATCCCTGTACACGATGACGCCCGAATCAGTGCTTTTTTCATCCTTAATTTCTTTCTGCCGCACCAGCAATGATTTGCACTTAATGGAGGGTTTGCACTTTACTCTCCTTCAAATGCAAAACAAAGACTGCGCATTATGACCACGTACCTACGCATCGTACATCCATGTTCCGATTTCCGACCCCTCAAAAACGCGCTTTCCTTTCTTGTCATATTTTGTTTCAGACTTCCAGTTGAATCCTTTCTTCCCCGAAAAAATACGGACAAGCTTCTTCACAAGCTAGAACCACGAGATTCGAAAACGAGAGTCGGTTTGATGCCGTCGTTAAATCATACACACCGAAGCGGGTCACGAAATTTAGCGATTTGAGTTGCGCAGCTATCCACATATCGGATATGTACCAACTCTCTGTCGCGGTAGTGCATGAGAAGCTTCGGAACCATGTCTGGCGGGGCTCGCTCCTGGCCCCATCGCTTAACATCAGGATAGTTGCGCCAACGTCGTAATTCTTTAAGGTTGAGCTGTAGGTTCCGGAAAATATTAAGCAGCCAATTCACTTCTCTACGCGATAAGTCCGTGTCGTAGAAGAACAGGTACAACTTTGTGAGCGTCTCAAACAGCTCCAATGCGTCACTAAATTCTGAACAGGTTGAGGCGTCATCTTCATCCACGACCCCCGGTGATAGCGGTTGTGGCGTGACCTCTGGACATGTACTGAGCGGCTGTTGTGTACTCCCCCTATAGGTTTTGGCCCTAGACCTCGCCCGACTGATAGGACGACTGGGCCCGACACAATTCAAAGAATCCATATAGGCGTCATACATAAGTTGTTCAAGATTTCTCTTAAGCTTGTCACAGTTTTTTTGTCCATTAGCAAGATAGGACTGTAAGTCTCAGTCACTCTCAAAGTCCTTACTGCAAACTCCACACTTGTTTCCCGTCATCCTAGTAGGTATCGAAAACCCTAAGCCAGTCACCTGCAGAAGAAGTGTCATATGATATGCACAACCTCAGTCACACAGCTTGGAGGGCGGCTGCGGGTGTGCAGAAACAAAGATTTGGTTTGCGAAAGTCGTATTGTGGTACTCGATATCACACGCACAAGATGATATTATATATATATATATTTTTTGAAATAATGTAACAATAAGCATTTGTACTGCGCAGGTTGTCTCACAAAAACTAAAACTAGCTGTTACAAAGTTCTACAATTCAAACCATACATACCAAATCACTCTTTCCAATAAAACACACAAGTGCTGAAGTAATGACATAGTACTTGTCAAACATTGCATGTTTATATTGTGTAGGCTATAGTGGGTTTAGCCTTAGAGGGTACACAAACTTAGGGTTTCCTACTTGTACCCAACTTCCTGCTAGTTCATCCATTCTCGTTCTATTCTAAGATTCTATTAGTACTATATCCCAACGCGGACTCCACTGCGTAACGCATTGAGAGCTTGAGTATTATAGAATAATCGCATCAGGAAACATTCGCATGTCGCGAGGGGAATTAACAGCTATGGGATGAGGCCGGGATATGGTGGCTCGTGAAACAATGCGATTGGTGCGTAGTACACCTGAATTGGTTTGGGTGCATAAATGCAGGCCGGACCACTTTGTTTCGTTGCCCTGTGGATGGAATTGCTTAGTGCTTGTATAGTTATGACGTACCATTCCTTATGTGCACATTGTTAACGTTAAAACACGCATTAGTGTCACAAATGTTAAAATATAAAATGATATGCCTCGACATTGGAAGTTCGCTATAGTGGCTCATCATCTTGATTTCGAAATAGTCGTTCAATAATCTAACACTGAGCGTGATACGCACTTGCCTCCCTTACCCTCGCTAAAATATCCTCGATACATGCATGTGATCAAGGGTTGATGGGTTGAAGCAATCACTTATGCACACCTCAACGAGATTGCGGTCATAAAACGGATGACAGGTGTCTCGCTCTCACAAAATTGCGCATGCTGCGTTGCACATCCTGTTGCCCGACGTGTAGTTACCATTTCCAGA